TGTATAGTATTCTCAACTGGACTGGTCTGGGAAGTATTTCATGATGGGTGAAGTCTTTTAACAAGAAAAATGAGAAATAGTGACTGACTGTTTTTAAAAAAATTATAATAATAATAATTATTGGGAAATTCATGGAAAAGACATTGAATGATAAAGCGGGGAGATTGATGTCTCTGCATTGACCGACATGCATGGCATTCCCTTTTGAAAAAACAATGGAAGTCAATGTAAAGTTATATGTAATCCAATGTAATATAAAGAAGATTATGATGATAATATAAATTTAAAAAAAAAAAGATACTTAATGAAATATCATTGGATTTGGGGAACACCGTCTAAAACAACTAATATGTTAATTAAATATTATGGTGTCAGAGAATCTTAGAGATGAAAGCATAAGAGACAGAAGTATATTATTAATGAGAGGGACTATTTTACATTTTTGTGATTCCTTTTGATCTGACTTTATTAGAATACAGGTGGAATTTCACATCTGCTTCTGTATTTACTCTACTGTGATATCACATATCATCACGTGGCCACTAGAAATCTACTGTGTACCTGTGACAGAAAAAGACTAGCAGATAATCTAGTCTAGCAATTCTTTTTAGTTTTGGTTTCAAGACTCCTTTAGATTCTCAAAACTGAGGACTCCAAAGAGCTTCTGATTGTATGAACTATATGTACCAATATTGGAAATTAAGTTAGAAATACCATTTCAGAAATTAAAGCAAAAATTTGGAAAATGCTTGTTTAATAGTTTACTGAAAAATAACAATGAGACAAGTCAGCAGGTGGCATGGTGATTAGGGTGCTGGACTCCCCACATGGCTGGTTCGAGTCCCAGACCTGGTGGCTTGATTCTTCTCTTACCCTCTCTATTTCTAGTGAATTAAAAAAATAATAAATAAAATGAAATTAAAATAATTAGTTTTAAAAAGTGAGTCTTGGGACCAGCAGATGGCACAGTGGTATATCACTGGACTCCCATGTGGCCAACCACAGTTCAAGTCCCAAACTCAGTGGCTTCAAAATCATGCCAGGCATGTGTGAGTGCATACCCAAAATCCTGGGAAGAGAAGTTATTGTAGTGTGGTCATTCCTCCCAGAACGGTGATTTCTCACTTCCCCTCTCACTGTCTCTGTCTCTCCTCCACCAAGAGCATGTGCCCCAAAGCAAAAACCTCTTAAAAAAAAAAAAAAAAAGCCTCAATACATGTTAACATAATTATATGTTTGATAATAATTTTTGGCCTTATAGATTTTACAAACCTCTAAGGGTCCCCTGGAACTAGTCTAACACTTCACTTTTCAGATGTTTACTAATGTACAAGCTAGAATCAACAGAGTGATAATGCCTTGCCTAGGGGAGAAAAAAAAAAAACAAAAAAACAGTGGGCCAGCCTGTGCTGTGGTGGCTAAGGCGGCTAGATTCCACATGGTCAATAATGCAGTTTAAGTCCAAGACCCAGCAACTGGAGAAACACACTAAGTGTGTGTACATGTATGCCCAAAATCCCAAAAGGAGAAATGGAGAAGGGATTATGGCATGACCATTCACAAGGAAGATGCTTTATTACTTTTTCTCTCCTCTCTCACTCCAGTGAGCACATGTGCCCAGTAGCTTGCCTGTGCCAGAAACAGACCTAGAAGCCAGACCTGAACTGCAGTCTCAACATGGGCCCTGATTCAGGTTCCAATCAAAGGCTATGGGTTACTGGAGGGGGCGGCATCCTGCCATATCAAGAGGTCATGTCATGCCTCTACCTCATCCTGACCACTACTTGTTCTATGTTCTTCAATTTCCAATTGCATAACACCAGGTAACACTAAGAGAAAAAAATGAAAGAAAAATAACTAACACTTTATCAGTACGATAACAACTGAGATCAGCTTTATCAGGTTAATACTTACAGCCATCCTGTTTGTGAATCCATTGTACACAATTGACTCGACCAGCATGACCATTCAGGTTGGTAACAACAACCCTTTTCTTTGAAAAGAAAATGTCAGTTAGTAAAGTTGAATTTATCCTATTAGGGAATTAAGAAATTATTATAAATCAGATTTCAGTACTTTCAATGCTAATAAAAATAACAAGTTTACATCAAACAGATTTATCTTCAATTCATAAACTTTTTTGGGGGGGAGGTTTTTGCTATAGGGCACGTGTGCTCGCCAGAGAGAGAAAGAGAGACGGAAAGCAAGAAATCACCCCCGAGGAGGGATGGCCATGCCACAGTCCCTTGTCCTCCACTCTCCTCTCGGGATCTTGGGCACGCATGCACATGCACGTGGTGTGAGTTTAAGCCTCTGGGTCTGGGACTCGAAACACAGTCGACTACTCATGTAGTGACACAGCCATTACGCCAACTGCTGGTCCCACAATTCATAAACTTTTAAATTGGCTTAAGTTGTCCTTTCAGTCTAAGTTATACCTGCCTTTGTCAGCATTCTCATTCGTAGGGTCCACAACACTCACTCACATTCAGCTCTCAGGTCTTCATCGGCCCAGTCCTGCTCACCTTCCCACAGTGCCCACAGCCTTTTTGCCTGGGTAGCCTCTCTAGATACCTCTGACTAGTAGAGCAACCTCCTCTCTGTGCTCCCACAGGCTTCAAAATCTACCTCTATCCTACTTACACCAATCTGAGGGTTTTCCTTAACATTAAAAATAAAAATTTAAAAAACCCTTGGGATGGGACCAGCAGTTGGCATAATGGCTATGTTGCTGGACTACCATGTAGTCCACTGCGGTTCAAGGACTGGACCTGGTGACTTAAATTCATGCTGGGCACGTGTGCATGTGTGCCCACGATCCCAAGAGGAGAAGGGATTACGGCATGGCCATCCCCAAGAGAGGAGGTGTGATTTCTTGCTTTCTGTCTGTCTCTGTCTTTCTGGTGAGCGCATGCACCCTAAAGCAAAAATCTCTCTCAAAAAAACAAAAAAACCCTTTGGGGGGCCGGCAGATGGCATGGTGGTTGAGGGTGCTGGACTCCCACATGGCCAACCATGGTTTGAGTTCTGGATCTGGCAGCTTGCTTCTCACTTTCTCTTTCTCTCTCTCTGGCTCTGTCCCTCTCTGGTCAAATAAATTAATAAATATATTAATAAAGTTAAATAAAATAATTCTTAAAAAAAACCTTTGAAGAGAAATTTGTAATCAAAGCAAATAAATTTTTCAATAAAACTTTTCTTTTAGAAATATTATTACAATCCCAGATTCGGTGGCACTTGTGCATGCATGCCCAAGAGGAGAATGGAGAAGGGATTTCGGTGTGGTCTTCCCCCAAGGGGGTGATTGCTTGCTTTCTGTCTCTGTCTGTCTCTGTCTTTCTGATGAGTGCAAGCACCCTATAGCAAAAACCTCTTTAAAAAAAAAGAAGTATTACACCGGCAGGTGACATGGTGGTTAAGGATGCTGGATTCCCACACGGCCATCTTGTTTGATTCTTGGACCTGGTGGCTTGCTTGCTTTCTCACTACCCACCCCCTTACTCTGTCCCTCTCTGGTCAAATTAAAATAAATAAAGTTAAATAAAATAATTCTTTAAAAAATTATTACTACATTAACATTATATTATCATTGCTACAATCAATATTTTTAGTATTTTTTATTTTTTACATTTAATCATTGTATAGCTCCACAGCATACAAAATGATTCTTCTCAGCATGAAGACACTGCATATCATTCTAGTCAAAGACATTATCATACACATTATCATCAACAGATTATTTTCCATTTTTGTATCCATTAAATCTCTTGCTTTTTTGGGCCAGCAGGTGGCATACTGGTTGAAGGCATTAGACTCCCACATGGCCAGTGATGGTTGAGTTAGAATGGGTGACTTGTTTTCTCTATTTCTCTCTCTCTCTCTCTGGTCAAAGTGAAAAATAATAAATAAATAAATATATAAATCTTTTTTTAAAAAAGTTTTGCTTCCCTCCCCCCCCTTTGATCCCCTCCTTCTGCACCCAAAGCATACAAATTACCGGCTCACTTTGCATGTTATAGCCCATCACGTAGTGTGTCCTTTAGCCCTAGTGACACAGAGTCACAGGGCCCAAAATACTAAGGTCCTCATACATCAGATCCCTGCAAGGTCTGACACCAGGTTCCCAGCAGAGCCTCGGCCTGTTTCTTTCACCATCATCCTACACTGAAGCTGCCTCACTTCACTCTCCCACTGCTGAAGGTTTTAACTTATGACGACCTTGCCTTTGCCTTTCCAGCCCCTTTCCTTGTTGGTTGCCAACAACAATGGCTTCTCATCTTACATGCCAGCTAGAATTCTCTTGGCTAAGAAAAAGAGACACAGAGGCAAACGTGTGTAAACTATTTCACACATAGGTTATTCGAGGTTGGAAATCAATGTATTTCATCATCTCTCCACTAGACTAAATAAGAATTCCTAAATGGACAGGCGTTATTACTAGTTTTCTTAGTGTCTTCATTATCTAGCCCATGGCTACCCCATAGAGGAACCTCAAAAAAATGGTTAATGAGCATCATTTCCAAATCTTTATTTTAGCATTTAACATGCTTCTGTTCCTACATTTAACCAAAGTTTCAACAGCAAATATTAAACAAAACAAAGCACTTTGTAGCTGTAATATACCTTTGGGGGCCAGTAGTTAGTGTAGTGGTTGAGGTGCTATGCTCTCATATGGTTAACTGTGGTTCGAGTCTTGGACCTGGCAGCTTGCTTTCTCATTTTCCCTCTCTCTCTGTCACTGGTGAATTAAAATAATAAAAACTAAATAAAATTAAATAATTTTTAAAAAGAGTCAATATGCTTTTTTTGATATGTTAAGAATCCCCATGAGACCAACAGATGGAGTAAAGGTTGCATTGCTTTACTATTCCAGGTAGTCAGCCATGGTTTGAATCCCAGACCCAGTGGCTTAAAAATCATGCTGGGCGTGTGTGCTTATGTGCTCAAGATCCCAAGGGGGAATGGAGAAGGGATTGTGGCATGGCCATCCTCCCTGAGGAATGATTTCTCACTTTCTGTCTCTCTGATGAGCACATGAACCCTATAGCAAAAATCTCTCTCAAAAAAAAAAAAAAAAAAAAAAACCTCCTAAAATGCATGCTCACCAGATTCTCATTAAATATGTGATGGCACAGGCATAAATCCACTGTACTGCTACTCAAAGATGGCGTTGGGCAGTTGAATCAGTCCTTGGTTGATGGTCACTATAAGGTTTATCCTTGGTTTTATGTGCTTTCTCCTGCCACTTAAGAAAGCATGGCATGGCTAAGGTGGGTAGGTGGCGCAGTGGTTAAGGTGCTGGACTCCCACATGGCTGACCAGTTTGAGTCCCAGATCTGGCGGCTAGCTTTCTCATTTTCCCTTTCTTTCTCTCCCTCTATCCAAATTAATAATAAATAAAATTTAAAATGTGTAAGTCTTTTTTTAAAAAAAAATGCATGGCAGGGGCCAGCAGGTGGTGTAATGTTTATGTCACTGGATTCCCACATGGTCAGTGCAGTTTGAGTCCCAGACCCAGTGGCTACAACTCACACTGGGCACATTTACGGGCATGCCCAAGATCCCGAGAGCAGAATGCAGGAGAAGGGATTATGGCGTGGCTATCTCCCCTGGGGGTGTGATTTCTCCCTTTTTGTCTCTGTTTCCCTTGGGAGCGCACATACCCTATAACAAAAAACTCTTCTTAAAAAATATATAAAAAAGAATGCATGGCAAGAAACAAAACCTGGAAAGAGATAAACAAGCTCAAGGCAGGAAAAGTGAATAAAAATACTTCATAAATGTAAACCTGCAAAATGTGTGAGGATATGAACCAACTTAATAAAACAATAAAGTAAGAAACACAGAAAGCCATCTCCTGTACTGCACTTCAACGTTCTGTACTTCAGTTTTTATATTGAGTCTCCTTTTGAGATGCAACATTAACTGTAACAGTCCTAAAGTAGACACTGGGAATAGGGTCATAATGAACCTCGGAGCATGCAAAAACTACTCACTTGAGAAGTCCGCTAAGGAAAGAGACATGAAAATTAGCAAATGACTGGGTGTAAGCACTGCCTTTCCTTCTCCAAAACAGTATTTTCTTTAAAAAGCCCACTCCTGGGACCAGCAGTTAGCGTAATGGCTATGTCGCTGGACTCCTACGTAGTCGACCGCGGTTCACATCCCAGACCCAGTGTCTTAAACTCACGCCGGGCGTGTGTGCATGCGTGCCCAAGATCCCGAGAGGAGAATGGAGGAGAAGGGATTGCGGTGTGGCCATCCCCCCGGGGGGTGATTTCTCGCTTTCTGTCTCTCTGTCTGTCTGGCGAGCGCACGCGCCTTATAGCAAAAACCTCTCCAAAAAAAAAAAATTAAAAATTAAAAATTTTTAAAAAAATAAAAAGCCCACTCCCGGGGGCCAGCAGATGGCATAATAGTTAGGTCACTGACCTCCCATGTAGTTAACTTTGGTTCAAGTCCTGGACCTGGTGGCTTAAACTCACACCCAGTGCCAGTGCATTCCCAACATTGAGAGAGGAAATGGAAGAGAAGGGATTGCAGCCACCAGCCCCCACCCCACCCTGGTGTGATTTCTCGCTGTCTCATTCCAGACAGTGCACCTGCCCTCTAGCAAAAATCTCTTAAAAAAAAAAAATCAACCCTGTAGCTACAAGAGATAAGATTTCATTGAAATTCAACACATTAACCAACATTGAGGGAAATAAAGAAATGAAACACCACCTATGGGATGATGTCTTTCATTCATTCTTTAATTTCCATTCCTTTTAAACTCAAACTGATTCTTTTTTGAGGATTATTGTATTTAATTTTATTTATTCACTCATTTAGTTTATAATTTGACCAGAGAGAGAC